TATATATATATATATATATATATATATACAAAAATATAAAAAAAACACATATATATATAAAACAGAAAAACATTCGTAGAAGTGCTGAATCAGCATTCACACAAGGGGAAGTAGCTGCATTTGTTCAGAGCTGGAGCATCTCTGAGGTTTCACAGATAGAAAAAAATAAATAAATAAATGGCTAAAAATATTGCTTTTATAAATATCTAGAGTGTTTCTTTTTTTAAATAGAAATATGTTATTTGATCCGCACATGAACCGAGTACAAAAAAATAGGACGTGAAACTAACATCTGCCGTGTTTTGAAATGAATTAACAGCCCAGATTACAGATGTTTTATTACCTTGCTCGCATGCTGCTAATAAAACAGGTGGAATAGTCGTCAATAAAAGCACGAGCAGAGTTTGACTCTATTGCTTGGTGCTAATTGTTTTCACCGTTCCCTCCCAGCTCCTCCGAGGCAGTGCATCGATCTACACTTCGAGGAGAACTATTCAATCGAATCTTCTTGGGAATGTAAATTTGACAACATCGAGGTTCGGGATGGACCATTCGGCTTCTCCCCGATGCTTGGTCGGTACTGCGGGCAGCAAAGCCCGCCGGACATTAGGAGCAGCGGCCGATATCTGTGGATAAAATTTGTAACTGATGGAGAACTGGAAGGGGTGGGATTTTCAGCCAGTTACAACTTCACAGCAGGTATGTCTTTATCTGTTACCTTTTTCTGCTGCTCGTTTTATTTTTTATAAACTGGTGCAGGTTTTATGGCTTTAACAGCATGATTCCTAATGAATGCCAAGCATTTCCCTTTGGTCTTGACCTTTTGGGAGTTTCTTGCAGTTTAATTGATTGTCTGTCAGCACACTTTCAAAAGAATTGGCAGTACGCGATCGCTGATTTAGTTGTTTTACCTTTTTTTTTTTTTTTTTTTTTGAGTGATGTGGAACAAATTGAACATTCCTTGGTCCATAGAGAGAAAGGGTCCAGAATAATTCAGAACCTGTGGAAAACTGTGCCTTTTTTTTTAATTGTCTGTACACAGTGCAACGAATGACGGCAAAACAATCCGAAAACTATGAATACCGTATGTTTCAGAATGTAAGGCGCAATACCAATGAACGGGTCTGTTTTCATACATGAGGTGCACCAGATTACAAGGCGCATTCAGCGAAACAAAACAGATTAGTCAAACTTTATTCAACTCGTTCACAGTAACTCTCAACATTTTTTAGTTGTACCACATAAAATTGGTTCAAGGTCAGTAAGCACAACCAGAATTAATACATAAGATTATAAGGCTCACTGTCAATTTTTTGAGAAATCTTAATGATTTTAAGTCCGCCTGATAGTATAATATGGTATATAGTTACTCACATCATGTAGTTTAACTTATAGGATCTTGGAAACTTTCAATCTGATGTTGACAGAAATATTCTCATTATTTAACCTTGGTGGTACAAAGGAAGTACAGTACTAACTTATGTGTTTTCAGCTACAGCTGGCTGGGTACACGTTATTGATGCTTGTACACATACCTGATTATTCAAAACATGGGCCGTCAAAGAGTTGAAGATACAAATCTAAATGAAAAAGGCAATTTAAACTTCACAAAATACATTTTTTTACATAATGGTTTATAGTGAGAATATGGTGGCTGTGATGCACAGCTCAATGTGGAAACAGCATGAAAATTGATAAGACCTTATATATAGACAGTACTTACTTTCTATATTCCTGGTTTCTTACCATGTACATATACTGCTTACTTGGTCCTATATATATATATATATATATATATATATATATATATATATATATAT